GGTTGGGGCAAAAGTTAGTATATAAGTTATGACTCTACTGCTCATTCCAAAGCCTCATTATAGTTAAAAAAATGAGCCTAATTACTAGTGCCAAACACCAACCTCTCATTCTCTTTCGTCTTTACATGAAAAGGAGAGACTCTAGCTATGAAACCAAGGTTTGCTGCACATGCCTCCCTCCTTCCTTCCTTCTCTCTCTCAAGTGGGTGGGGTACACCATGATTACCCAACTCAAGCTCTCAAATCTTCTTTTTTTATTTTTTATTTTTTCCTGTACTTACAAGCTTGTACTTCTCTGAAACCCATAAAACACAGAACTCTAACTTCAACTTTACTCTGGGAAAGAAGAATAAATAATAGGTCTAAAACCTAGCCCAAGTACCATATTCACTGTGAAATAAAGCAGAAAAAGTTTATTTATTTATTTTTTTTACAACTATGAAACTCCCACTTTTGAACCTTTTGACTGGTTAGCTCATAATGATGAACATTGTTTTTTCTTGTTGTATATTGCCAAATCATCACCAGCAGTGATGAGCTAGGGTTTTTCTCTTTCGGTTACAAAATATATATATTATCACATTTCCTAATTAATTTATATACACAGAAAAGCAAAATATTAAAAAATAGTATTAAAGCTATTTTACATCAAAATAAACAATCGAAACAATAGGTTGTATAACAGCTATTGGCACAATGTAATTAGAATTTTTTTTTTTTTTCTAAAATCAATGTTTCTAAGGTCAAGAACTGTTTCAGCTACATTTTCTGAGAAAGGTCTGAATCTACTAGGCACACTCAGTGAGCACATTGATTATACATACAATCTATACGTGACACTTGTATAGGTTGATTAATTTACAGTCATCAGCATTCGCCTGCCACATCAGCACTAATGAAAGATATTTCTTTTTATTTTTTTCTATGACTTAAAAAGCATAATGGGTCCCCTCTCTTCTAATCATTTTCCCTTTTCAGTTCCTCGTTATTCTCCCACTCCAGTTAAGATGACGTGTCACTTAGAGAACCCAAAGTTCTCTCTTATATATTTATACACAATGCGCTTAGCTATATTTATTGAACCCACTTTTACCTCAAGCATAAAAAATGAAAAATATTAAAAAAAAAAAAAAGGAATGGATACGAGTCAAGCCGAGTCGAATATTAAGTTATTTGAATTTAGTTGAACAGAAAAATATATAAAATTATCATTCGAACTTTAGCTATAAACATATATTAACTTGAGTTAAATTTAATTAGAAAATTTATATGTTTAAACTCGGTTCGGCTCAAACTCGAAAATGAGCCAAGTCTACTTAAGTTCGAACTCAATATGTATCCTACTTGCTTAACATTTAAAGCTACAGAAATACATCAAAATTTCCTGTTCTTATATAATTAAGAAAAATAACTTGTTTATTTAACATTTAAAATAATAAAATACAAAAAAAAACCTATTTAACTCTAAATAAATAAATCTCAATCAGATTTTATACTATTTAAGCTTGCATATATTAGGCTCGAACTTGATTCCAAGCTCTAAATAGAATTTTTCACAATCCAAACTTGAATAACTTACAAACAACTGATTCGAATCTACCCAGAAGGAAAGGAAAAGCTAACACGAACACGCTGCCATTCATTGAACCATGAGCAGCACTCTACCGTGTTTGTCATTAATTTGCTCAAACATCCAGACCACTAAATACTGTAAATTCTTTAGTATTTTCCAGCCAATCACCGAGGAACACGATAGCGTGCTCATGGCTGGCTCACTCAAAGAGAGTGCGTTCATCCCATGTCATTTCCACTACACACAAATATGCCGAGGATGTTTGGCCAATTGGGGTGACACCATCTGGTTTACAGGCTGGGCTCCCACCATTCCTCTTGAACGGTGGTAATGAGAGGTGTATCTTAAATTGGTGGGCCAAAATAGACCCATATAATAAAAAGTTGGATCTCGCGTCCCATCATATATTCCCCCCAATAATAGTATCCAAATTATGATACCTAAATCCACTTTAGACGTGGTATCTCACCATCAGGCTTTCAAGAATGAGCATCTAAAAGCCAATTTAATACATGTCGTATCAAAATATATATAGAAAAATTAAAAAAAATATACAAAATTACAGAAAATTAAGATATCACATGGATATGTAATAATGTCAAGAAAATTAATATAAATGTAAATGTCATAAATATATAAGTATATAATATTAATTATTCATCATCATCATCATCTATGTCTTATTTCAATTATACGGGGTTGGCTACATGAATCCTATTTTATTTTGCTGTTACTTTCTATTTAATATCATATCTATCATTAAATTATGGGTGTAAAAACATATATGAAAGCATATTTTAATAGTTTATAAAAGTTATATATATCAAAACAATATGCAAATTAGGTATTTAATCAAATTCTTATAAATCCTAATATATCATTTCCATATTATAGTTTAATTCAAATAAAATTTACAAGTTTAATCTTAAAGCTGTATTAGATTTATCGTAACAAGCATTGTATAAACAAAACTAATTTCAAGGGATAAATAATTTTAATTATGAATTATAGTTGCTTATATTATTTTTTCCATTGCAAATATTAAAACTTAAGAAAAGAACTATCTTAGTCTGAAGCCTTGGATATATGAAGATTATCAGAAAATGAATCGATCCATTTATGTATAATATATTAACATACAAAACATGAGTATCGGATAAGTAATTAGAAGATAATTATTATTTTTTTACAGAAGAATTGCAAAATTAAGAAATGTAATTTTAATCTGAAATTGCCTTGGATTTATGGGAATATTGTGAAACTATAAATCTATATTATCGATATATAGATATACAAACTAAATGCAGCTGACAAATAATTATTTTTCTTTTATTTGGTTTTATTGACAAATGTAGAAAATTAAGAAATCCATTTTTCAATGGAGTTTATTCATGGATCTATATATCTCATAGGTTACCCATAATCCATCATAAATAGATCAAACACTTCCGAATCAAAAGGGTTAAGAAAAAAAATTTAACATAAAAATTTTAGATTCATGCATTACTATAGAGCTCTTAAAAATAGAACTACTCGTTTTTACAAGATTAAATGAATGCACAGAACATAGGAGAGAGAGAGAGAGAGAGAGAGAGAGAGAGAGAGAGAGAGAGAATTTCCTAGTGATCCAACCCTTTGTCTTATAAAAACAACTAACAACAATTTGGTAAAGCTTTCTTGCAAAATGACTACAACATTGAGGTCCTCTTTGCCTTGAGAGCTTTCCTCACAAAGTGATATTTTGATATGTGGTTATGAAAGCATTTTTGCTAAGTTAATTGTAGCTACACTTGAATAAATCGGTCTAAATCAACCAATCCAAATAAGTTTCATGGTGCCAATATGTATCGACTGTATATCTATCTACAGTACAAAAAAAATACATAAAAAGACACAAAAGGTTGTTGGAGAAGTGTTAGAAAGCTGGATTGATATCAATATTCTGACTCTGAATCTCTTGCTCACAATAACTCTTCCCAAGCTTACCTACAACACACTACCCCATGCATAATACTATTTAGGAAGATGAGATATTCTTTATGTGTGATTGCGATAACATGTGGGTAGACATAGACAGAGTTATTGTGGGCAGGAGATTCGGACTCCAATGTTCCACTTCCATCTATTTACTGCACTTCACTCAAAAATTTTGTACCCATGCCTATGCGTATATACACATAAATTATCTCATAATATAATTTCTACAATACTAAAAAAAAGAAAAACCCTTTTCCATATATTATTGAAAAAGCAGCTATTAAATGCTTTCTCAATATTTTGTAATAAATAGAAAAAATAATATATATATATCCTAATAAGAAATCAATTACAACCCACTGTTTCAGATTGGGACCATCAGATACTCCTAGGAGGTTGTGTGTATAAATATATAATCAACACAAGTAAACGATTGCAAGTTTACAACTCTTTTATTTTGAAGTATTTATTGGGGCAATAAAAATATTCTATATATTGAAGTTGTAAACACTATCAACAAAGCATATATGGTTGCAAATCATGTGATTAACTAAACTGATTTTTTTTTATGTAAGAAATGTCTTAATTTGGGCACATTTAGGGGATGATCTCTATCTTATAAACATAGGACAGATGGCAGTTAAGGAGTTTGTATAGGTTTTATATAACTCAAAATCTATTTATTCTTAGCCGCTTGTTTTGGGGTCCAAATACCAACCAATATTGGGATTTGGTGAAATCATGGATTCAAGTGAATACGCGTAGTCTATAATATAATTAAATTATCTGAATTTTTATGTTTATTACTTTTTTATCCAAGGAATTATAGTAAAGAAGAAACTTATGCATGGGTTCAATTAACTATATTTGTGGGGGAATTTTGATTTGGGCAATTCCCCTCCCGCCTTTTTTTGATAGATCAAGCAAACCCTAGTAAAAAGACATAAAATGTTAAAAATTCCTGATAAAAGTTACAAGTGTTTTTGGGCATGCCTCTCTCAGAAATGGGATGTGCCCAAAATAATCTCTCTCTCTCTCTTGATTTCTACCTATAGTTAGCAAATTTTGTGAAAGAAAGGATAAAGAGTCTTAACAATCTGGGGGCGTTGAGCTCGGATAGTGGGTGATGCACTTCTATTATTAGTGTTAACGTATCTTAAATTGGAGAAGAATTTATTAATTTAAAATTAAAATAAATAAATATAAATGATGATAATAATAAAACAATAATAGATATTTATATCCATCCTTTAATAAAATAAGAAGGCGGCTCTGAATCCACTCAAAATTTCAGATCTCTCTCTCTCAGAGGTCCTACCAGTAAAACAGAAAAAAGGAAAAAAAAAAAAAAAAGGACCCCACATTAATTCATTGATACCAACAGCTCAACTCAGCTCCACTATTTATACCACCTATCGCCTCCCTCCCTCCACATTCCAATTACAAACTCAACTCTCTTCTCTCTGACTTACCAAACAAACATAACCAACCAACCCAATTCTCACTCTATCTTGCCTCTTCTGAACAACTGCCACTTCTGCTCCTCCAACTGCTCTCTCAGACTCAAACTGATCGTTGATCACTTTTTCACAGAATTCCGTTGCATTCCTCAGCCTCTACTACTATCAAATCATTGAAAATGTTTCGTGTCTCCGACTTCGAAGACTTCTTCTCTCGCCGGTGCGTCTGGGTGAACGGTCCGGTTATCGTAGGCGCCGGACCCTCTGGACTTGCAGTCGGCGCCTGCCTGAAAGAACAGGGTGTTCCCTTTGTAGTTCTCGAGAGGGCTGACTGCATTGCCTCTCTCTGGCAAAAGCGAACCTATGATCGCCTCAAGCTTCACCTTCCCAAGCAGTTCTGTCAACTTCCCAAGGTCCCATTCCCAGAGGACTTCCCTGAATATCCAACCAAGAAGCAGTTCATCGAGTACCTAGAGTCGTATGCTAAGCGCTTTGAGATCAACCCACGATTCAATGAGTGTGTGCAGTCTGCTAAGTATGATGAGACCTTGGGGTTGTGGAGGGTCAAGACTGTTTCCGCCAGCAGTGGCGCTCGCTCTGAGTTTGAGTACATTTGCCGCTGGCTCGTTGTGGCGACAGGGGAGAATGCCGAGGCTATGATGCCTGAGATTGAAGGCCTATCCGAATTCAGGGGCAATGTCATTCACGCCTGTCATTACAAGTCCGGCGAGGACTACCGTGGAAAGCGAGTACTAGTTGTTGGGTGTGGCAATTCCGGCATGGAACTCTCTCTTGATCTCTGCAACCACGAGGCCTTCCCATCCATGGTAGTCCGAAGCTCGGTGAGTAATCCATCACATATCACTCACTCCCTTCCACTGGTCTTGTCAATTCAAACACTTGTTTCTAACCGAGGATGAATTTGACTTCAATCCACAGGTTCATGTCTTGCCGAGGGAGGTTCTCGGGAAATCAACATTCGAATTGGCGGTTCTGATGATGAAATGGTTGCCTCTGTGGCTGGTTGATAAGCTGTTGTTGATTCTGGCATGGTTAGTGCTTGGAAACATTGAGAAATACGGGCTGAAACGACCTCCAGTGGGTCCTTTACAGCTCAAGAACTCTGCTGGAAAGACCCCTGTTCTGGATATTGGTGCACTGTCAAAGATCAAATCCGGTGACATTAATATCGTCACTGGAATCAAAAGGTTCAATCGTGATAGTGTGGAGCTTGTCGATGGAGAAAAACTTGATGTTGATTCGGTTGTTCTGGCAACTGGGTACCGCAGCAACGTCCCTTCTTGGCTTCAGGTGAGAAGATGTTCTTATTTTCTTTTCCATTTTTAGATGTGTTTGACAGTTCTGGAAGTCAGATTTCTGTTATTAGATTCTTTCTAGTTTTCATTCCCATTTTGGGTCGTTTTGATGCTCAGAAAAAGTCAAGAGTTCTTAGGCAGTTAGAAAGAAAAAAAATATATAAAAAGAGTTTCAGAAGTTTCTTCTGTTGATTGGGTTTTAGTTAGAATTTTTCTTTTCTGAGACAAGAAGTGAACAAATGGACTGAAGTTGCTTTCAATATTTGTGTTATGACAGGAGAGCGAATTCTTCTCCAAGAATGGGCTTCCAAAGACTCCATTTCCAAATGGGTGGAAAGGCAAGGCAGGGCTTTATGCAGTTGGGTTCACAAGGAGAGGGCTCTCTGGTGCATCTTCTGATGCAGTGAAGATAGCACAAGATATTGGCAAAGTGTGGAAGGAGGAAACAAAGCAGAAGAAACACACAACAGCCTGCCATAGGAGATGTATTTCACAGTTTTAAATCCTGAATTGTTCACTAATATTCCATCCCATACACCAATTAGTTTCTTATGCTTTTCATTGTTTTCTCTTTCTTTTCTCATGGCTGGCGACAGATCGATCCGTCCAAATGGGTTCCTTGACAGAGATCGGTCAATCGTGTATAATAATAATGTAAAAAGAAGGAAAAAAAAAAGACAGATAGCACAGAGAATCAGAGATCAGCCCTCTCCCAAAAGCCCAAGTTTTGAAAAAGATTGGGCATTTTGTGTATTTAGGAAGATGAGGCTTTTTCTAGTTTTTAGATTACAAAGTTTTGTACAATAATTCAATGATTGGATCTAAATAAAGATTTTATTTTAATGAAAGACTCTCTCTCTCCTAAACCCACATTTTAGTATTATCTAGTGTTAGAAATGATTTTTTTTTTCTTCAAAATTTTGTAAGGTCTATTTACTTCTTTGAAAACTGTTTGATGTTTCCTGAGGTGCATCATCTTCAAATGAATGAACCTACTCCCCCAAGAACCACACATGTAGTCCACCAACTCATAAATTCTTACCCATCAGTTCACTTGATGGGTGGGCTACTAAAATCATTTTCTAGTTTTACCCATCAAATTTTTATGAAGAGAGGGCCCACTGATCCAATATTCTAGATCAATGACTTAGTGGTGGGTTGGGCCCATATTCATCCTACTACATCCTTTTCTTCTAATTCTTCTCCTTGTTCCGAGTATAATAACCACAGGTATCATGCAGCATTAATGAACAACTCAAAAGGTGACATACTATTCATTGCTATATAATATATCAGAGAGAGAGACTAAGTTTTTTATTGCCCTGCACATGAAACTCCAAAGAATTTTCTGTAAATTATGGGTAAAGAGTAAATAATTGAAATCAATAACATCTGAAGATTCAACTTTTGGCATAATCAAGCTGGTTAATTTAGAAAAAAAACTAAATTACCTTATTTTTTATGTAAGAATGAGTTGTATACTTATGTATAACAAAACACAAAACTAAATAAGCCAACTAGGCTACAGACTTGAGTTCAAAACTAAAACCATTTTCCAACCATATGATGATACTCCGGCTTGAACCGGATATTTTGGGCCAACCAAATTGCATCACCCACAATCAAACCGGAGACTTTCAGTTTATTATAGACTGAGACGGTTGCAATCAAATGATCACATCAACTACTTTTGGCCTTTATGGCAGTTTATAGGGCCATCACCATCTCTGGCTATGGCTAGGGATGAATAACCTTTTGTTAAGTTGAAAGAAATAAATGCATGGATGAACCACACATCTTTTCCAAAGCTTCTGTCAGTATTGCCCAAACTCCTTGCATCCACAAAAATCCTCACTTTGATTTCAAACTTCCCAAATTCATTTTTGAGTGAAAGAGAGATCCAACCTTCCCATATATACTCCCATCATATAATTGCAAACTGATAGCATTAATCCAGAAAACCAAAGATTCCTACTTCTTCTTTCTCTATATCTTCTAACTTTTTTTGCTTTTATTGTTTTGGTAAATCATCAGTTCCACTTCTTACTCAGAAATCAGAACAATCCTACTTCAAGGACTTGAACCAACAAAACAAGCAGCAAAAGAAACCATATGTACACAAAAAGGAAAGCAAAGCACATGAGTCACCATGTGTTTGATAAAACCACACAGAGGCCTCCCTCTACATAACCCATCTATGTATCTTCCCCACCACCACAAACTCAAACMTGTCAAAGACATTTGATGTACATCTCAGATCCCTGATGACACAAAATCTGCTACTTTTTTTTCTCCAAGTTGCTTCAAGTGCCTGAACTTTGCACTACTTCCAGTTTGAAAAGTTGAAAACATAAGTACAACTGTAAGTTTATGTCTTTTCTCCATGGATCATATACATGTTTTTTGTTGGAACACCCATTGCTAGCTTCCATTACATCTCCACCTTCTCACTTAATTAAGCATCACTAATACCAAGAAAACATCACGTGGGCTTGCTATCAATCTACTATGAGGACCCAGGGGTTGCTGATAATTAATGTTCTTTTTTAACTCATTCAGTCACTTTTTTTGCTAGGCAAACTAGGGGATATATAGGGGGTTGGGAGGGTGAAGATGTCTATCAATCCCAGGTCAGTGGGATCTCTCTCTATTTTATATATATATATATATATATATAAAGAACAGTGATGACCCATATATCCTAATTAGGTTTTGATGTGGGTATTGCATACTTGTATGTCTCTATGTCCCTGTAAATGAAAGAAATAGCTGACATCACTCCCCAATAAAAAGTGAAGTATGTATTGTTTTACTCTTGACTTAGGTTTGGAGAAATGAAGACAACAAACATAAAAGCCTAAATCTTTTAATTCATATCATATCCATCACCCAAGCTATTTATGTAGGGATATGAAGTGAGGTTCAATAATTTGACAGAGCTTTATAAAGATGTTTGTATATCAAGCTGTTTATGATATGGAAAGATCTCTTACAGAGAGCCCCAGTGATGGTGAGCCATCCTCATCTTGTTATGATACTTCATTACATGGCCTGTTTGGTATGTCCTATATGTACCGACGTGCTATAACATGTGGGAAGCAAACGTTCCATCAATGGGCGGCATCATGTTTAAATCACCATATGTTTTTGCTTACAATTCTTACTACTCAATTTGTGTTTTTCGATCATACATGCACCCACATGCATATGTACATATATACTTCACACATAATAATGTTGATGATGACGACGGCGATGACGATTTATTTCGTAAGCATGGTTTTCTGATATATGAAGTAATTTCTTTGCTAGCTAGCTAGATGGTTTCAATAAAATTTAAAATTATTAACAAATAAAGTTTATGTTTTTTCAATGAGCAGTTGAAGTTTATGGTGTGCATTGTAATAAGTAAATTATATTAAATTTGGTTTTTATCTTTCTTTTTAATAATAATACAAACCTCATCCTGACAAGCATGAGAATGCAGGTTCAAGTATATAACTGTATTAAATTAGGTCTATAACTAGTCTTCCTCTCCCAAGACCCTGAATGTATATAGCTAGGGCCAACTGGGTAGTGACTAGTGAGCTTATTTTTTTTATTAAATAAATAATTGTAATTTATATTTATATTTGTTTAAATTTATTTAACTACATCCACATTTCAAAAGCATTTAAAAATAATACCTTTTAAGGGTCTTTTATTTATTTATTTTTTCAAAATTTTCCATAGTAACACCCACCATTGCAATCTTTAAAATTTTAATTGACAAAATACCCATTTGCTTATGTTGTGGCAGAGAAGAGTTCTTTTGTGCAACATAGACACCATGCATCGTTTTAGTTTTTTATTGTCAAAAAATACTCATTATAATTATTACCAATTCTTCATAATTAGGTCTCGATTTGCTGAATTTTGTAGCATGACTGGGTTTTAGATTTTACTGAGACTAATGTTATAAAGACAATTTTTAATTACTTTTTTAGAGAATTAACAATATAGATAGCTTGGACGCAGGAAAAAAACCCCAACAGTTTTTCCTAGGGTTTATTAACAATTATTTTAGTAAGTAGACTTATTAGGTTTGATTAACACTGAACTGAAAAAAAAAAAACTTAGGTTTGAACGTCAAATGAATTCTAAGAAAAATTCCATCTAAACATCATTTTCTTACGTACATTCAGAAAACCAGGTATTAATTTATTTCTACATGTTGGTTTTCTTTAATTTGTTGAAAATTGATTAAATTGATGTTCTTTCTTCTAATAAGAAGTGGTCAAATTTATTCCCAGATGTTTTCATTTCCTGGTTGAATCATTAAAAAAAAAAAAAAAAACTAATTGACCTAGCTAGCTAGGAACCTTCCATCTGACAGAATAGATCAGAACCTGAAAGAGACTCACGGGATCCTCTCAATTTCATCCCCCAAAGTCCTTGCCATGTGTCCAGAAAATCTCTTTTTCTTTGAAAAACTTTATAACAAAAAATTTAAGAAATGAATCGTTTACATCAGAGAAAAATACCAACACAAGTTGGGTAGGTAAAGGAATGATGTGGATTGAGAATTGAATGCAAGGAGAGTCCAGTACGACTTCTGGTCAGATTGGTCACATTAGCCTCATATGACCTGATTAGGAATCTTATGCATATATACATATTAGTTTGTGCCTTTATATATGTCTATATACATATAGAGCATTTTTCAAGGGCCCTGTGGTTTTTACATCATAATATTTTATCTCTAAGGTTATGTTTGGAATCGGTGTAAAAGTTAATTTTATATATTTTGGTTCAGTTTTGTATATGTTTGGATGGAGTGGAGTTTTACATCGATAATCGATATAAAATTTATCAAATGTAAAGTTTTACATCGATTTTTTAAAAAGCAACGATCACTTTCATGGTTAAGTGTAAAATGTCATCGATGTACTTTTACACCAATAACATTTTACACTAATTCCAAACGCATCCTAATGATCATCTCATTTAGCATTTAACAATTCAAGCTAATGTTATTAAATGCCATAACAGAAAAATAAAAGAAAAGAAAGAAAGTATTGGTGTGTTTTTCTATTTTTTTAGTGTTGATAAAATATAGTTAATTAGTCTTCATATATACACAAAAGCAGCTCAGAAGTCAATTTTACTCATCCAATTTAGGTACATAATTATTGAGTAGTGCTTTGGTCAAATATAGTTAATTAGTCTTCTAATTCCCTTGTTTTTTTTTTTTTCTTTTTAGCCATCCCATTATTATCCTCGAGTCTCCTTCCACCAATAGATTCCCCACATTAAGTAGTGCTTTGGTCAATCCCATGATCCAAACTCTAAGGGCGTGTTTGTTTTTGAAACCACAAAAACAAATGTAATGTCAGCAAAATAATACAATTTTGCTGTTATGCTAGTTGTTTCTGTTTTCATAATACCCATAAAATATGGATACTTTGGATTATGCATTGTATATCTAGGGTTTTCAAATTTTGGATTTTGCTATTATTTTCTATTTTTTTCTGAAATTTCTGATGTTTTACAAGTAGGGGTGGCAAATGGGGGGGTTGGGTTGTGTGAGGGTTGAGTACCAACCTACTCATATTGACCCACTAACCTATTTATTATCCACTCTGGCCCTGACCCACCCATTTCACCCTCTAATTCAATTATTTAAATTAGATACTTTTTTTTGTCTTTTCTATATTTTAATTACATAAAAACATACAACTATATATTTCAACTGCAAAAACATAATTTTTTTTTCATAAAAATGCATAAAAACACAATAAATGGCAAAAAATATATATATTCCTTGTAAAACATCAGAAATTTCAGAAAAAAATTGAAAATAATAAAT